TGGTGAATATTATTAATTTATTTGAATTTAAGTATTAGGCAAACATAATCAATAGAACTAATCATTTGTACATCTGGCGGCTCCCAATACTTCAATTTAACACATTGGTTTTCGAAGAAGTAGAGTATATTTGTGTGAATGGTTATAAATATTAAGTTCTTTCGACGAAGAGTATCAGGAGTTCATATGTGAGGGGTTTGGAGCGAAAATGTCTTACAGAAAAGTTGAGAGGAAAAATGTCAAATGAAAAGAGATAGCTATATAGTGCACTATAGTTTACTATACAGTTTACTTTAAAGCTATCCCGCACAACAATAAAATGTCCATAACACGCTGACACCGACTCAGTGATGTCAGCAATACAAATCAATTGTTTTCATTTGCGTTGGTATTGGTTGTCGGTGTCAGCGTGTTATGAATATTTGCTGTTGTGCGTGAGTGAAAGAGATTCTCTTACTCTCTCCGATGCGTTGCAATTTCGCAATGTTTGTTTGTTGTCACATTTCTTCTGTGTTATTTTCCATGCGCTATCGTTTCAGTGATATTGTTATTTCACTCTTTACATTGGCTCATATACCGCTCGTTCATGGTGATGCTGTACAATAAGCAGAGCTCGATTATCGTAAACCATCCGAATTGTAACATAGTTCAAATTGTAACAATTGAACAAATAGACTAATTTTCTGCAAAACTTTGAAGGGTAACTGTTGTTTTTTATATCATATTTTAGAAGAACACGAAAAAAAACTTCCGATATGAATGAATTATTCGTATTTTTTTTTAGAAAAGTGGTTTATTTTGAGACTTTGTTACAATTAGAACTATGTTACTATTTGGATGGTTTACGATACGTTCTCTCTTTAATGCTAACAATCACGAACTCCTGATACTCTTCGTCGAAAGAACTTGATATTTTTAACCATTCATGCAAACATACTCCACTTTTCCGAAAACCAATGTGTTAAATTGGAGTATTGGGAGCCGCCAAATGTACAAATGATTAATTCTATTGATTATGTTTGCCTAATACTTAAATTGAAATAAATTAATAATATTCACCAATTTGGACAAACATACTCGCCTTTTACAACAACCAAAACCAGAAAAACATACTCCTGTTAATCGGTATTCCAAACTAACAAAATACATAATCTTGTTTAACGCAAATTAAGGTTTATGAAACATACTCGCCTTTATCATAGCCACAAACAGTCGAAATACATATTACATACACATCTCACACGGATCACACAGCAAAATCAATACTAAAAGACTGACGAATTTTTCCATACATTCTTTTATGTGTATTGAAAAGATGATACTTATCTGTGATGTTTACACTTATTTATTGTAAATTGTCATTTTGATTTTGTGCTTTGTTGTAGCCATCCACGAGTTGGCGAGTTAATATTCTTATCTTTGAAGTCAATTTTGAATTATTTACCATTTAGCATCAAATGGTCTGGTTACGTTTCGAATCATGGTCCATGTCAACTCAATACACTGTGCAATCAACATGGATCTGCCTAAACCGACGTAAAACTTCTCATCAATTTATCTATCGGATAAATTGAGTGACGACTTTTGCAATCTCAAAGTCTGGATTCAACGCGTAACAGTTAACGCTTCACATAGCCTTTGTCCCTTTGGAAACGTTTACCAAAGGTTATCCTGGACCATTTACTATAGACTACTATAAGCATTTCCATCTTGGTTGTATGACTGCTTTCGTTTTCATGTTCCTACTATTGTGATTACCTCATAATTTACGAAAAGAGCCAGTGCCGGTATTCTACAACACATTCCGAACACTTTGTTCGGAACGTTCAATTGCATTTTGGAAGGTGGCTATCAAACGTTATATATGGATTTGTATCTATTTTATTGATTGAACGTTTGATAGCCACCTTCCAAAATGCAATTGAACGTTCCGAACAAAGTGTTCGGAATGTGTTGTAGAATACCGGCACAGGTTTTTAACGAGGCGAGAACTGAAAGTTATCGAAAGTTACTGCTACCATTGTTCATTATTTATAAAAATTGTAACAGTCTTGCACTCTTTTCCGGCCAAACCTCTAACAAAACCCACATTATATTCAGCCAGAGCTTGGCGGTGTTTAATAAAATAAAATAAAAAATACTCTAACTATTTTCAAATCGAAAGAAACTTACTCTTCTCTTTCGTAACAAAGTCAATGAAACATACACTACTCTCAATCTCACCCATAGATATCAAGTATGCTGAAACTCGTTTTTCTTTTATTTCACTACGATTCACATACGGCTGCGTTTGCTGCGGTTGCTGCTGCTGCTTCATCGTTTTTCCATTCGCGCATTTCGTCAGTGATGTGATTCAATGCATTTGTTTCTTAGACCCCGAGCCACATCATTGACTTGCATACGCTTTCATCGCCATACGATATTATTCAGCGAATTCCGTGAGAGAAACGAAAATTTATGGCGGTGCTAGTACGTGCTGAAATTCGTCTTATGGTTCACAATCATTGTGTGTTTGGTGTGTGTTTCGATTGTTTTTTTTTTTCATTTCGATGATGAAGCGCAAAGTGTACCAATCCCGGTGTTCGTTGCTTAATGCATCAGCAAATCCGCACATGCCGACCCAATTAATTTCTTTAAAGACAATGATGAAGAATCTTCACGAACCCACCAACAGGATAAAAGACGAAATGCCAACAAAGCAATCATTTTATTTGAACCGTTGCAACGCCAACAAGGCACTCACGTTAACACAATATCACATGCGCGTCAGTGATATCGTTGGGAAGTATTTTCTTTTGTTCGTACGTTTTTTTTATATCACGTGTTTATATAATCGAGTCGATGTTGAACTCAAGACTGGCTTTGGCATTGGCAGAGAAGCGAGCTGCTACAAAAGTTTGCAGCACAAACAAAAGCTTGAGTAAACAAAGCATCGTAGTCTATTCTATTAAGTTATTGTCATAGTCTTAAGGAAGATTTTTGCACAATATTTACATCTTCATCAACAGATTCGCTCTAAATGGTTTCAAAGCTTTTCCGGACATGATAACCGATCTCTTTCTCAATGTACCGCAATGCTTTTCTATCGCTTTCTCTCCCTCTTTCGACCAAACCAAGATTAGGCTTTCACAATACGTGCACAATGGATGTCGTTTCGCAACATCAATTTCTGTATGTTTTCCCATGCTGCGTGCATACGCGCTTCTAATTTGAAAAATGTGTACATTTTTCTCTCTGTCCGTTGTGTGAAATGGAACCTGCATTTGTTGCTTTTTTTCATGCCTATTGACTCGTTTTGTGAGAAACGAGAATGCAGAAAAGATTGCTGTTGAAATCCGATGCGATGGTGGAAATCGTTGTTCACGAAGCCACACGATTAGCTGCTGACTGATGTATTGTTTGTAATTTTAATTTTTCAAACACGCATTTTCAATCATCATGTTGTATTTGCTTCCATTTGCCTCTTTTTGGTCGGCTTGTGTACCGCCTTGCTCCACCGTGCATGCGTGCCCAAGATTTGCACGGCGAAAAAAAAGACCGAAAAACGAAAAGTGACATGGGTTGAACGAAAGCCGTGATTTGTATTCACTAGATTGGAGCAAATACTCATAAAAGATGATTTTCGAATGCGAATTTAATGTCAAGAAACATTTCGAAATCCGCGAGAAAAAGATTGTAACATAATAAAGCTGCCACATACCCGTTTTTCTCCATCATTGGTTTAATGTAAAAAGTTTCCGTCAGCTTCGTTCATTCTCTCTATCCCCCGTTCTCTCTTACTTTATATACTACCATTTGTGTGCCATGGCATCGAACATTGCACGTACCTCTGATGCGAATGCATCATTTATACGTGCACGATGCTCGAATCTGGCTAAATTCTATAATACCTAGTAAGTTGAAACAAAGTTTACGTTTTCCATTTTCAAGTCGATGTCGGTTGCATTTTGGCTTTGCAGATTAAATAGACTTATGATGGTACGAGATGTAGATTGAAAGTGCACCGAGTCGAGATGTTTCGTGCGACATTGATTCGGTCATGTGAACCAACCAACACCGTAGCGTCCCGCACCGAATCACCTGGATAAATATGTAATGAGTTGGAATGCTCGAAAAACGATACAAATTCATTTTGCTGTGATCATTTGGTGAATGTTTTCTTTTTCTTCTTCCTTTGTACTCTCTTCACCGTTTCGTTGCTTGTTTTATCTCTGTTTTCCATTTGCACTTTCCTCTGGCCTCCCTCCTCATTGCCCCGTGCTACGAAAACCACGTGTATCTTTCGCCACTAAGAGCATTAAACACTCAGCATTGTGAGCAATTTAATATTTTACGCAGATTACAAAATTTCATTTACAATTCTATCATGTTTTTATGTGAATATTTTCTTGTTCTCTCTACTGCTACCACTACTCACTCTAAGCAATAGGGATGTGTGAATGAAAACCAACATTTACATTTGTACACAAAACTAGCAGTGCTCGGCTATCTGTTTCTGTCGTTCACTCACTCATTCACTTGCCCCCTTTCAGTGACTTTGTACACTTGACCTGCTATGTTGTCAGATAAGAGTTGGCTATATAGTCAACTATAAAATTGAATAAGTTGAGAAAGCGGTCGGTGGCTGCAAACACAAAAAGATTCGCTAGCAGAAGAAAAACAAACTGAACGACCCCATGTATATACCTTTCATTTCAATGGGAATATATAAATTGAATGAAAAATGTGTCTAGAATTATAGGGTTGTTGATTGAAAAGACTAATGATGGCTTGTTGGCATGCCATCCACTGCTTTTTACTCGTTCTCTTTCTTTCGTTTTCGCTAACATACTGTTCCTGTGACTGTGCGAATGAAAAATAGCAAGAGCTTTCCATTGAATGAAGATCTGTGCGTGCCTCTGACCCAATGACATTGAAAGCAATTTTCCTTTTCATTGGAACGGGCCGCTTCTCTCCTTCTCTCTGTCACACACACCATTATGAACTCAATATCCAAACAGTTAACGATAAGATAAGTGTGTACGATGAACAAACTATGAATGCAGACGATGAAAATGAATCAATAAATATAATAATGCACGCTTCAGCAACAAGTTATCCGAATGGCCAATGTTTACATTTGAGGAGCTTAACATGGACATGTAAAACAAAATATGTGCAAAGAATGATGATTCATCAACAATGTTAGACATTAATTAGAGTATTTTATTTGTTGCTGTTATTGTTGCAAATGGCTTGGTACGGGTGGATATGTGTGTTCCACCAAAAGTATGAGTTATAAATTTCGTGTGAGTTATAGTGCACTAATGTCTGGCGATGAGACGTCGTCAACTACGTCGGCGAAACCGTCACGTAATGTTAACTTTCCATCAACAAAACTCGAAGAAGTGATTTCGGTCGGAAAAAATGCCGGAAAGATCAGCACCATGATTAGCGCCGCTGCTGCAACCAATGGAAATGGTGGAGGCGGCGGCAGCAGTGGATCAAGACGAGGTTCGCGATCGTTTTTCCAACGACCGCGGTCATTGTCGATATGGAGCGATATCAGTCGCAGCAGTATGAGGCTTGATGAACGGTACGTATTTTCTTTTAATTGTTTTTTCTCACCGAATATTTTCTGTCCAATGAGATTGAACTGAATTCTGTAGTATATTCGAGATGATTCAAAATCTAGAATAATAAAATCAAAATCTGCACATTCTTTTCTGCGTGGAAACAAATAACTTTTGTTATTACCATAATGAAAAGCCTCATTACATTTTAAACCAAAAAACAACAAGCGATGACGTTGATAGTATTTAAGAAATAATCAGAATAACGAATTAAACAATTCGGGGGAAAAACAATCGAATTTAATCATCATCATTTGAGGCATTTCCATTATGTATTCAGTATGCTTTTTTATGTACCTGGAAAATGGTGGGTGGGTTATCTTTGGCTTTGCCAAATGTCAATTTGAGATTGGAAACGGTTTAATAGACTCTCACTGCTGATTGGAATTGCGGACTAAATAGACCAAATCAGTTAAATTTAGAAACAGATTAAATTTGGTAGGAGGAGAGAGTGAGGGCTCTTGACGGATTTTTTTTTTCAGCGAACGAACCGAAAAATGAACTAGAAGAGAAAAACGAGGCGTCTTTAACCTTTTGACCTTTGTCATAATCATATTGTATTCAGCGCAGTATTTAATTGTTCTTTTGCGCGCGCTCGTCCTTTGTCTTCATCCATTTATGCGATGGTTTATCATTATTCTTTCTTTTGGTTTCTCTTAAGTTTATGCGTGTATCATTTTCTCCACAATGTATCCAGTGTATCATGTCAGAAACATATATATCATCTTTGTTCGATGTCATAAATTTTCGGCCAGAATGAAGTAGACAAAAAAGAGACCATATTTCGAAAGGTCGGGATAGCTAACACCGACCTATTGAAACGATTAGTGAGTGGAAGGAAAAAAAATCATTTTCGGGAGGTTTATTTTGTTCTTCCAAAGCGATAATAATTGAAATCAGAAAACAACCGTGTTTAAAACTTTGTTGACTCGTTGAATATTGAATTATATACGATTGGATCGATGCCGAAATACCCCACATTCATATATTTCCATTAGAATTTGATTTATACAGAATGTTTTTTTTTCTGTACAAAGATTATTTAAAGCCAGATAAAATATTTTCGATTGGTAGTACTAGCGGATTTGGAGATTAAATTGCACGCAGCCAGTGTGTTGCACACAAATTGATTTTTCGTGACTAAAATTAACAATGGAAAGAAAGGCGTTTGAGAGATTGAAGCGGATATATAGCAATGGGAAAAGTTATGTGTGAATGAATCCGATTAACCGATGGACTGAATATAAATTGAAAAATTCGTTTCAAAATCGGCTCAACTTCAAATGCCAACTTCGAGCTTAATTTTGTGTTATTGGCACTTTTTTTTGCATCAAATCGGTACTCATAGAGGCTGGTAATTTTGTGTGAAATTCAAAGCCAATGGGACCATACAGCCAATGTAAATACATTGATGTCAGCTTATGAAATTTCTTCTAAAACTTTACAAATGAAGCATGAGAATAAAGCGTGGCGCCACTATCTTTCCAAAATTAATCATTGAAGTCAATGGAATACATAAGAGTTCAAAAGCACGACAAAAGATGGCGCCTCTACGAATCCCATACGCAATCCACTTCCCAAATGAGTCTAGATTGTTCAAAGCTGTTCTACGATCGTGTTTTCTGGCTGAATTGATGGTTTATATTTGATTGGCGTTGTTACCGAGTTATTTGCTTGATTTCAGCTTAATTATGTTTATCCAAAAAAAAAGAACGTTCGACAAAATCCACACAAGAACTTTTCGGTCACATTGAATGCAAGTGATCCACATGCTTGTTTCCAATTCATCAAAAGAGAGTGTTGTATTATTTCATCGTGCACGTACATTATTCATTTCTTATCATTCTTCATCCACTTGATTTATATTTATCATAATTCCGTAGGCTTTTGCATGAGTTTTTATTTGCGCTTATCCTCATTGGTCTCCGAATTTCGTGTGTTATGAGCTGTGTGCTTTCTGTTTGTACCACTTTGTCCAGTGTCAGATAGATGGTACGATGGTGTCTTTATTTGATATTCACGTGCTGTTGTTTCATTAGATATTTTCTCTATCTTTCTTTTTGGACGGTAGTTGAAAAGCAATTTGTGTCTATTGTCAATTTCTGGGTTTTCTGGTATTTGTCTAATCGAAGGTACCTCTCGATTATGTTTCAGTTTCCTTGGAAGCTTTTACTTGAGACAATTTCTTAGAGCCAAAAAGCATGTGACTCTTCTTCTATTTCGGATATACAACGTTATCAGTTTTTTTCTTCTGGCAAGCACAACATATGTGAAATTAAAATATCCGTGAAAATACGGCTGATACTCGCATACTATGAAGCGTTGGCAAAACTCTTGTCAACAGTTTTCTGCCGCACTGGCTTTTACTTGTCTGTTAGCGCCCCCCGCCCTCTCTCTCTTTCTGCGAATATACTATATCAGTCTATTTTAGCCATTTACCGTCGTGCGCTTAGCACACATCACGCTGCATTAGTTATTTGATGGCTCGTATACAAATAAGTGGTACCGTGCAAAATGCTACGTGCACACTACTCCGAATCATTTGCTACGTCTTATCATGAGGTTTATATAATAAGCTCCACAAATTTTTTCAAGTTCTGCGTTGTGGAACAACAAAACGCTCGCTTGCCTCCCATATTATCACAACATCTTTTATTTGGTTGCCCTTTTTTTTCTTCCGATTTCTTTTTTTTCCTTTTTCCTTTTTGCTCTCTTTCCGTCAATGTTTCTTTTCCCATGTCTATTGTCTACCGTGTGCGTCTTCATATCGCTTCGATATTTTCTTTTCCTTTTCTTCGTTGCGTGGTGTATCACATCTCGTTGACGCCATAAGCAGCATGTAATAGATACCACAATTATGTGAATAACGAGAAAAAAACCAGAAATTGTACCCATCACATTTGTTACCCACAACAAAACATCCCGGCCATAAAACGGCTCACATGCCACCACGGTCTACATCAAGGGGCGAATTACTACTGAAAACCGGTTTTCAGTACTTTTCAGTACCTGCGATCGATTTTCAGTAGCGGTTCAGTTTTTTCAGTGCCTAGTAAATATATGACTTTTATTGCAATTCAGTATTGTCAAAATTCCTTGACACTTGTGTTTAATGTTTGTTTTCTAACATTCGAAATGGAAATTGAACGTATTTTATCAAGAATAAAGTCCACTTATATTTGAATTAGAAATGTCTAAAGACACAATAAAGAAGCTGACATCAGAAAAGAGTGATTCATGTCGAAAATATATGTCTGGCAATTTTCGTCGAATGAAAATTTCTATGATATTGATGTGTGTATCATCAACTCTATGAAATGTCAGTGCATCTCTGAAACCACGAAGACTAAAACCAAAAAAAACAAGAATGGATTTTTTACACAAATGTTTTTTGGCGTATTTTTATTTCCAAACTACTGAATGTCCATTCAAATCCAAACTACATTCAGTAGTGATTAGCCCCTTGGTCTACATACATATAATGCATGATATTGCGTGTATAATTTATATGTTAGCATCTAGAAAATTATTAAAACCTAAAATGAAAAGGATGAAAATATGATGATATTAGGGCTATTTTTTGCTTGAAAATTTCGTCCATTGCTCAATTTCGATGCATTTTCATCATCGATGTTTCAACATCGGTATTTCTACAACAATACACTTTAGCTTAGACACGTCCGGCTTGCGCTGTATGTATTCCTGTGTATTCGAGTGTCTCGTGTCATACACAAGCGCCATCTCAATTCCTTCGGGCTGAAACATATTGGGTCAATTCGAAAGTTTCCGCCGCTGACATTTAAATGTCGCCACTTGTAACTGAGCGTAGCTTGACAAGTGAATCCAATTGCATTTTGTAGATGTGACATTTAGCAATCTAACTCAGAGCAGAAAGATTCATTTTTCGTTCTGCGTCATTGTTTTTGAATCGATTGAAAATGGATCGTGATAAGGTGTTTTTTCGAGGGGCCCTTCTTTTCTTATTTGATTCGAAGAAAACTGCCGCTGAAGCTCATCGAATGCTGTCAGATACATATGGCAAGCAAGCTCCATCGAAACGAAGCTGCAGAGAATGGTTTCATCGATTCAAAAGTGGTGATTTTGACTTGAAAGACAAAGAACGTTCAGGTCGGCCAGAAGCGATTGAAGATGTCGATTTGCAAGCATTATTGGATGAAGACCCTACCCAAACGCAAAAAGAACTTGCATTGCAGTTAAACGTCGGCCAAACAACCATTTTCAGACATTTGCACGCCATGGGAAAGATTCGGAAGCTGGGAAAATGGGTTCCACATCAACTGTCTGAAGAGCAACTTCAAGCACGAATCGCAATATGCACAAAACATCTTGCAGAGCACAAAAGAAACAGTTTTTTGTATCGGATTGTTACCGGCGATGAAAAATGGGTTCATTACGAAAACCCCAAACGTAAGGCAGCGTATGTTGATCCAAGCCAACCGGCACCATCACAACCAAAACGAGATATTCATTGCGATAAGGTTATGCTGTGCATCTGGTGGGATATGAAAGGAGTCGTGTATTATGAGCTGCTAAAACCAGATCAAACGATTAATAAGGAACGCTATCGACGCTAATTGAATGATTTGGCTCATGCATTGGATGAAAAACGGCCATTAATAACTCGAAAACACCACAATGTTTTGTTCCACGATGACAACGCTAAGCCACATCGTGCAACAATCGTTAAAAATGAGGTAGAGCAGCTCGGTTGGGATCGGCTTGATCAGCCCGCGTACTCTCCAGACCTTGCTCCTTGCGACTACTATCTATTTCGATCGATGCAGATTGCCCTGTCTGAAGTACGCTTTCAAAATGAGGAAGAAGTGCGAAAATGGGTTGATGACTACATAACCTCAAAAGACGAGGACTTCTTCAAGCGAGGAATCCACAAGCTGCCAGAAAGATGGCGGGAAGTCATAGCTAACGATGGCGAATACATTGG